GTGGGTCGTTCGACCTGTGCCCAGGTGGGCTAATTCAGATCCCACCTGATGTTGGTGGGGACATTCGCTATGGGGGAAGGGTTTGGGACATTGGCCGTGACCTTTGAACACTGTCGGTCTGACCACTGGCTTGACAAGTGTTTCCACTATCCAACACTCCCAGGGACGTGCATAGGGGGGAGGCTACAGGGGCTTGGACCCCTACATTTGCCTCTTCATGACCCATAAGTGCCCCTTTCTTAAAAAATTAAATTATTTGTGTAGTCTTAAATTTTAAGTTCTGTCAGTTCATGATTAACTAGACTACAGTTTATAAGTTCAGAGCACTGTGTGGGGCTTAGAGGATACCATGGTGTGTCGTCCCCTTCTTGTGTTGTGTCTCATGGACGGACAGACGTGAAACGTTCGTGACTGTGTTGTGGTTAGCCGATACACGTACTACATCATTCCTTTTCTCGCATTTCTCGTGAATTTCGTAAATCGTTCACATTCACTTATTTATGCAGGTGAGTTATTCGTACATGTGTAACTGTGACACACGAGTTTCTGATAATCTGACACAACAGCTCAACAAATGAGCAGAGGAGGAACAACATAATAGTGTTTGGAGTCCCTGAGAGCCAGTCGGAGGAAGCTGAGAGTAGAAAAACACACGATAAGATGGAGTTTGAGAATATTTGTACAGGGGTTCTGAAAATGTTATCGCCCCCCCCCCTCCCCCCCTCAGGATGTGAGGAGGCTAGGACAAAGGCAGAACAAGCCTCGCCCCCTCAGGATCACACTAGTGGGTGAGGAGAAAAAATGTGAAGCTATTCGGCTGGCAAAAAAATTAGCAAGGAGCAAGACATTTCGGAATATATTCATAAACCCAGATCGCAGGGTAATGCAGAGGGAACAGCACAAATACTCCTATGGTGCTTGAAGCAGAAGAGGGAGGATTTGATGAGGAACGGGGACGGACATGCATGCTTTATATACAAGGGGAAGGTAGCGGAAGCAAGTGAGCCAGTATACAGTAGAGCCAGGGGACAGCGGGACACCCCCCGCCCCCCACCTGTTGTACCTCCCACCCAGGGGGAGGCGAGCGCCATGTAAACAATTTCATCTCTGACCACACCCCACAAAACACAATGTATTTTGTAAATGCTGTAGCTGCTGAGAATGGAGGGAGGCTGGAGTCACTACCCAGATCAGAGACGTTACTGAGAACAAATTCCGGCTTGAAAGTACTGCACACTAATACTGACACGTTCCTTGATAAGAAAGAGGAGTTTGAAACACTACTGAAGGCACACCAACCCGATATAGGTGTTGTACAACTGTTGTACAAGAACAAGAGAATCGACCTGGAGGAATGTGAGTTCAATATATATGGATATGACTTATTTAAGAGCTTTTCTTAAGAAACTTGCAAGGGGGGTGTGGATATCTATGCTAGGCAAGACCTTAGGGCCAGCCAGGTGAGGGTACAGGGAGAGGATGTTTTTGAAGAATCAAAGTGGTGTAAAATCAAATTAAAGGGAGGGGACTTACTTGTTGTCGGGTGTATCTACAGATCCCCAAACTGTAGCTTACTAAGCCAAAGGAACTTAAAAGCCTTAATAGACAACGCAACGGCGCTCAACCCTATCCACCTCCTTGACATGGGGGACTTTAACTATGGCGACATTGACTGGAGATATGAAACCACACCAAATTACCTAAATAACCCTGCTACTCTTTTTGTAGAAACATTGAGAGAAAATGTTCTATTCTAACATGTCAAAGACCCGGCTCACTGCAGTGGGGAACAAACACCCAAGCCTCTGGACCTCATCATAACTAATGAGGAGTGTATGGTGGCCAAGCCGGAACACCTAGCCCTCGTTGGCACCAGTCACCACGTATCGTTGTCCTTCAGATTTAACTGTTACTTGGTTCATGACAAAAACAGACTAAGGTTAAAATATTACAATGGTAATTACAACAGAATGTGGGAGGAGATGAAGGGTATCCACTGGCCTGACTCACTGAGATACAGGAAGCAGATACTACTCTGAATATCATAACCAGTACAGTGAACCATTTGATCGATAAATATATACCCAAGACCAAACCCAGTGCCTCCAGGAAATCAAAGAATCCATTACACATGAACCATGCAGCGGTCGACAAACTTTCGAAGAAAACTCAGAAATTCGAGATGTGAGTTTGGACAAATGATGAGCAGGACAGGAGGATGTATGCCATATCCAGGAACTAAGCATCAAAGTGTAGAAGGGCTGAAAAAGAGTTCCAGAGGCGGATTGCGAGCGAGATCAAATCAAATCAAAATGCGTTTTACCGCTACGCGAAGTCGAAATTAAAAACGCGAGTAGGCGTATCGGACGTGAGGCTTGAAGATGGTCGTTACGCAGATTTTGACTAGGACAAGGCGGAAGCGTTGAACAGTTTCTTTTCCTCGGTGTTCACAAAAGAGGATGCGAACAATCTTCCTGCGTTTAAGGACAGACGGTTTGACACAGCACTGACCCACATTATGTTCTCAGAAGAGGGTATAAGAAATAAACTGTCAAAGATAAAGGTTCATTAGAGCCCCGACCCTGACACTGTGCATCCCAGAGTGCTAAGAGAGTTTACAACGAGCTTGCTGAGCCCCTTAAGAGCATGATCTGTAAATGCCTGGATGAGCAAAAAGTCCCCAGTGACTGGAAAACAGTTTATGAGTCCTATATTCAAGAAGGGCGATCGTCACTCAACGAATAATTATAGACCAGTGAGCCTGACCAGCATAGTGTGTAAAGTGCTTGAGAGCATTATAAGAGATGCCATGATGGAACATCTACTACAAAACAACCTTATAAAGGACTGCCAACACTGTTTTATGCCGGGACGGTCCTACTTGACACAATTACTCGAGGTAATAGATACTTGGACCCAAATTCTGGAACAGGGCGGTAATATTGACAATATATACCAAGATTTTCCCTCGGCTTTCGCCACTGTACCCCATGATAGGCTGAAAATTAAACTGGAAGGGTGCGGGATTCGGGGAAGTGTCCTAGCGTGGATCGGAGACGTACTCCATGATCGCAAACAGTGTGTGGTGATTAATGGTACGAAATCGTCATGTGTACCCGTCACAAGCGGGTTACCGCAGGGCAGTGTATTGGTCCGCTGTTGTTTGTTTGTTTCATAAATGACATGCCGGGAGCTATACATTCCTCCATACAAATGTTTGCGGACGATGCCAAGTTATTTGGGGAAATTAGGAACCAAGCAGACTGTGAAGAGCTACAGAAGGATCTCAGTGAGCTTCAAGAGTGCTCGAAGAAATGGCTGCTAACATTCAATGTCACGAAGGTATGGAGGCGTATCATATGTCCCAACAGGACGAAGAAATTGCATTAATAAAGACCGAATGCGAGAAGGACCTGGGTGTGTGTGTTGACAATGAACTGAAGTTCTCGAGCCATTGTAAGAGTAAGAAGAATGTGAATCAAGCAATTAACCTATTAGGTCTGATAAGAAGGTCATTCGTAACGATCAAGAGTGAAGTGCTTGCCTGTCTGGAGTACTGTCTGGTCCCCGAGATATGCTACGGACTGTCAGTTGATTGAAAATGTCCAAAGGAAGGCCACCAGACTGGTGCCTGCACTTCGGCACCTCAGCTATCCAGGGAGATTAGAGCACCTGCAACTGCCTAGCTTATACTAAAGACGGGCAAGGGGTGACCTAATTAAGGTGTATAAGCATCTCAAGGGGCACTACTCAGTCGAGTGTCCTTACTTGGAGCTGGCGGACGCCTGCCCCACAAGGGGTCACAGCTCAAGGTTGAAGAAGCCACAAGTCCAGAAAACTGTGAGGGCAAACCTTTTCGGAGTGGGAGTTGTAACTCTTGGAATAATCTTCCAGAGAGTGTTGTGACGGCACCGAGTGTGAGCTGTTTCAAGACCAGACTTGACTACAGTCTCGAGAGATCGTTTTGAGCACTCATGCGATTTTATAAAAAATCTCTCATTTTGAGATGCTGAGTCATTATATGCAGGAGACAAAGTTTGAACATTTTTACAAGTGTGCTGTGTGATCATGTTTTAAGAGTACAGGGTATCTGTTTTAAACTTTGAATTATCGCAGTTTTAGTGGAACAGTGGTAGTTAGGTAAGGTTCTGAATACATACCTGTTGCCAGATTATACCAAATTGTATATGGAAACATCTCTCAACAACGTGCTTGACAAAAAGTGCGCTTCTCTGCATCCACTTCATCTGTTTGCACTAGTGACAAGAAGTTAAGTGTCAGTTCTTATACAACCACATTTGTTTACTCATCACCCCGAGTTTCATAGTGCTAAAGACAACTGTGCAGTGATATTTTTCATTGAATAATGGTAAGAAAATAGTAAAATGATGGGTGTTATTGTTAAGGAGGGAAATAAAATTGTATTTTGTAGTAAAAAAAAATGGTTGGAGCACATTCAGCGAAGGTTTCACATCACAATAATTCATAATCCCTCAGTCATTTATTAAGATATCCAAATGAAATCAACACCAAATAAAAGCTTACGAAACTTATTTTGTATGATTCAATGCGCTATACTATTTTTAACATTGTTTACAGTATATTATTTTTATTTCGGGTGCCTTCTTGTTAACTTCCTAACCCTGTATCTGAAATGTCCTATGCATGGCTCAGCTTGTTTCCATTCTTTTAGAGCTGACATTGTCACTTTTGTTGTGTATCAGTCACGGGTTGATCGTCAATCTTTGTACTTTATTCTTGGTGAAAGGTGTTGGTATATCCTGATGGAGAAGAGGAGATGATGGAATGGAAGTGGAAGAAGGCCAACAGGCTTACCCAGGTGGCTTCTGGAAGCGGCGCCAAGTGGGTACAACGCCATTCCATGAGAGCAGTGTGTGTGTGTGTGTGTGTGTGTGTGTGTGTGTGTGTGTGTGTGTGTGTGTGTGTGTGTGTACAGCGTGAATGAGACAGGTTTGCTAACGTTCCCTCTTCATCAGCAGGTAGTGATTGTATGTACTGGACAAGAGAGGTCGATAACATGAAGATAGCAGCAGCAGGGCTGTACAGTCTCTTCCTCCTCACTGGTAAGGTGTTCCATAGTCCTCTTACAGCACAGGTTAACTGTATATTACGTGGTGAATAGTTTCTCGATGTCTTCAAATATTCTGAATACATTATTACATAATTACACTTAGGAATATCAATTCAGGTTCTGCTGATGACTGTCTCATAAGTGAATACATATTAGAAGATATTATATTAGACAGAGAGATACAAAGGTAGAGGATTGGAAAGATAAAAAATAAAAAATAAACAAGCAAAACACTCTTGATGACTATGATTTCAACACGAAATAACTGAAGCTCTTGTAATGAACATGTAGGAAACAGGACCCAAGCCTGTATATTCAATCCTGTAAAAAAAATTTCAACAAAGCACCTTTGCAAATACCGGAAGATCCTTTTAAAGCACTAAAATAGAGCACAAAAGATGAGCGAAAGAATACTAAATACCTTGGTAAAGAATGTATGAAACAGCTTAAGGACTTTATTACGCTTGTAGAGGATCATGAAACTAAGATGAGTTAATTAGAAAAGGAACTCAAGCAGCAGACGTTAGAACTCTTGTAATCAATGCAGGAAAGTTTGAAGAACATGCAGACAATCATGGCCAAGATAATGTACTGAGGCGGTCCACACTGACAGCGTGGCACTTGTAGGAAATATGATAAAAACTCTTCAAGATAAGTCAAAAGAGCATAAAAAATTAGACAATTACAAAGATGACTTTATTATAGAGAATCAGATAAGCAAATGGTGAGAAAAGTGGTTAACTCTGTGGGTGAGTAACGCATCACAGGTGTGGAAAGACCATTAATACTCTTGGGGAAGGCACAGAACATTAAACGACTAGCAGAATCCTCAAAGTCAATTTAGTGTGGTTGATGGAACTACATAATAGGCAACTGACAGAGCCCAATCAAGGAAGTAGCTCAGCAAAAATACTACTTTATAGATACTACTTACGTCTACCTATCTAGTTCCTCACTACATCTACCTTCATATAGATACTACTTACGTCTACCTATCTAGTTCCTGACTACATCTACCTTCATATAGTTACTACTTACGTCTACCTATCTAGTTCCTCACTACATCTACCTTCATATAGTTACTACTTACGTCTACCTATCTAGTTCCTCACTACATCTACCTTAGTTACACGTCTACCTAGTTATCTACCCATATAGTTACTACTTACGTCTACCTATCTAGTTCCTCCACTCATCTACCTTCATATAGTTACTACTTACGTCTACCTATCTAGTTCTGACTACATCTACCTTCATATAGTTACTACTTACGTCTACCTATCTAGTTCCTCACTACATCTACCTTCATATAGTTACTACTTACGTCTACCTATCTAGTTCCTCACTACATCTACCTTCATATAGATACTACTTACGTCTACCTATCTAGTTCCTCACTACATCTACCTTCATATAGTTACTACTTACGTCTACCTATCTAGTTCCTGACTACATCTACCTTCATATAGTTACTACTTACGTCTACCTATCTAGTTCCTCACTACATCTACCTTCATATAGTTACTACTTACGTCTACCTATCTAGTTCCTGACTACATCTACCTTCATATAGTTACTACTTACGTCTACCTATCTAGTTCCTCACTTCATCTACCTTCATATAGTTACTACTTACGTCTACCTATCTAGTTCCTGACTACATCTACCTTCATATAGTTACTACTTACGTCTACCTATCTAGTTCCTCACTACATCTACCTTCATATAGTTACTACTTACGTCTACCTATCTAGTTCCTGACTACATCTACCTTCATATAGTTACTACTTACGTCTACCTATCTAGTTCCTGACTACATCTACCTTCATATAGTTACTACTTACGTCTACCTATCTAGTTCCTCACTACATCTACCTTCATATAGTTACTACTTACGTCTACCTATCTAGTTCCTGACTACATCTACCTTCATATAGTTACTACTTACGTCTACCTATCTAGTTCCTCACTACATCTACCTTCATATAGTTACTACTTACGTCTACCTATCTAGTTCCTCACTACATCTACCTTCATATAGTTACTACTTACGTCTACCTTTCATATAGTTACTACTTACGAGTTCCTGACTACATCTACCTTCATATAGTTGCTACTTACGTTCACCTATCTAGTTCCTCACTTCATCTACCTTCATATAGTTACTACTTACGTCTACCTATCTAGTTCCTCACTTCATCTACCTTCATATAGTACTACGTCTATCTAGTTCCTGACTCTACCTTCATATAGTTACTACTTACGTCTACCTATCTAGTTCCTCACTTCATCTACCTTCATATAGTTACTACTTACGTCTACCTATCTAGTTCCTGACTACATCTACCTTCATATAGTTACTACTTACGTCTACCTATCTAGTTCCTCACTTCATCTACCGTCTTATTTGCTACCTCTACTTTCCTCAGGTCTCGGAGACGGAACAGCAGCCTTTGGCCTCAATTACGATGAACCTGTGTCCGACTACGATTACTACTATGATGTGAACTTGGAAAGTATAAGTGTAGAGCCAGGAGAGGAAGGCTTTGCTATCATTACCATAACGGCCGTGGGATGTGTAAACACAACGTTGAAAAGTAAGACTGACTTAATAACACTGCATGGGGTCTCTAGTATGTATTTTTTTTACGGGGATTAGCCCACCCAGGCAAAGGTCACTGACCCACATCGGGGCCTGGGGGGCGAAAATTTAATAATAATAAAAAATAAAATAAATAAATAAAAAAAAAATAAAAATAATATTAATAATAATAATAATAAAAATAATAATTCAGAGTAAATTAAATTTATAATAAAATAAAAACATATTGAAAATGAAATAATAATAAAGAACCATAAAAAAAATATCAAAAGTGAGAAACAATATATAGTATGTTGTGTTGTCAAAAGTAAGAGAAACAATTGAGACCCTGCAATTGTGTGTAAATGAGGCAGAAAGTCAGAGCAGCAACCTGGGACTTGGTCACAATTTTCGTGATGCCATATGGCAGCAGGGTCTACCATTAGACAACACATTATGCTTCCAATATCTTCCCAGGCGGTAGTACCTCCCTCTTTGGTTTCTAGTATGTGGTTGCACTGTATGGGGTCTCTAGTATGTGGTAACACTGCATGGGGTCTCTAGTATGTGGTAACACATCATGGGGTCTCTAGTATGTGGTAACACTGCATAGGGTCTCTAGTATGTGGTAACACTATATGGGTCTCTTGTGTGTGACAACACTGCATGGGGGCTCTAGTATGTGGTAACACTATATGGGGCTCTAATGTGTGGTAACACTGCATGGGGTCTCTAGTATGTGGTAACACTATATGGGGTTCTAATGTGTGGTAACACTGCATGGGGTCTATAGTATGTGGTAACACTGCATGGGGTCTCTAGTATGGTAACACTGCATGGGATCTCTAGTATGTGGTAAAACTGCATGGGGTCTCTAGCATGGTATCATTATATGGGTCTTGGAGTATGTGGTAAATATTATATGGAGCTCAATGTGTGGTAACACTGCATGGGGTCTATAGTATGGTAACACTGTATGGGGTCTCTAGTATGTGGTAACACTGCATGGGGTCTCTAGTAGTGGTAAAACTGCATGGGGTCTATAGTATGTGGTAACACTGCATTGGCCCCCAGTATGTGGTAACACTGCATGGGGTCTCTAGTGATGTGGTAACAGTGCATGGGTTCTAGTATGTGGTACACTGCATGGGGTCTCTTTAGCATGTGGGTAAACACATCATGGGGTCTCTAGTATGTGGTAACACTGCATAGGTCTCAGTATGTGGTAACACTATATGGGCTCCTTGTGTGACAACACTGTATGGGGCTCTAGTATGTGGTAACACTATAGGGGCTCTAATGTAACACTGCATGGGTCTATAGTATGTGTGGTAACACTGCATGGGTCTCTAGTATGGTAAATACCTGCATGGGGTCTCTAGTATGTGGTAAAACTGCATGGGGTCTCTAGCATGTGGTATCACCATATGGGTCTCTAGTATGTGGTAACACCATATGGGGGCCTCTAATGTGGTAACACTGCATGGGGGTCTATAGTATGTGATAACACTGTATGGGGTCTCTAGTATGTGGTAACACTGCATGGGGTCTCTAGTATGTGGTGACACTATATGGGTCTCTGGTAAGTGGTAACACTGCATGGGGTCTCTAGTATGTGGTAACACTGCATGGGGTCTCTAGTATGTGGTAACACTGCATGGGGTCTCTAGTATGTGGTAACACTATATGGGTTCTAGTATGTGGTAACACTGCATGGGGTTTCTAGTATGTGGTAACACTGCATGGGGTCTATAGTATGTGGTAACACTGCATGGGGTCTCTAGTATGTGGTAACACTATATGGGTCTCTAGTATGTGGTAACACTACATGGGGTCTCTAGTATGTGGTAACACTATATGGGTCACTAGTATGTGGTAAAACTGCATGGGGTCTCTAGTATGTGGTATCACTATATGGGTCTCTAGTATGTGGTAACACTGTATGGGGTCTCTATTATGTAGTAACACTATATGGGTCTCTAGTATGTGGTAACACTGCATGGGATCTCTAGTATGTGGTATCAATATATGGGTCTCTAGTATGTGGTATGTGGTAACACTGTAGGTAGTAGGCAGCTACCAAACAGGGAGGTACTTCCGCCTGGGAAGATATTGGAAGCATAATTTTTTTTTTTTTTATTGGGCACCTCCCTACATCCTTGTGTAAGGTGAAGTGCAGAAGCGTTTACAGCGCCCAACAGGGAAGCATGCTAAGTTCATGCTTGCCTTATGTCTCATGAGTTAAGGGCGTAGAAGCCTGAAGAGTCAGTGGTTTGTGTCATCAAGTTGTTGGAAGCTCCAACAACTTGTCCCTGAATACGAATTCGCAACTTTCGCCTTACACCAGGTACCTACTTTTCTGCTAGGTGAACAGAGACTAATGGGGGCTAGGAAGTATGTCCAAACAACTTCCACCGGCCCGAGAATCGAACCCGTGACATCGCGCTTAAGGGAAGAGCGGTACCACTCTACCACCAGCAATCCCTGGAAGCATAATGTGTTGTCTAATGGTAGACCCTGCTGCCATATGGCATCACGAGATTATGACCAAGTCCCAGGTTGCTGATCTGACTTTCTGCTTCATTTACACGCAATTGCAGGGTCTCAATTGTTTCTCTTACTATTGACAACACAACACAACATACTGTATATTGTTTCTCACTTTTTATTTTATTTTTTGTATTTCTTTGTGGTTCTTTGTTATTATTATTATAATTTTTATTTTATTTTATTTTCTATTTTCTATTTTATATTATAATTTTATTTACTAAGAATTATTATTATTATTAATATTATTCATATTCATATTCATATTCATATTATTATTATTATTATTGAAACACTGAAACATTTTATTTAGCCAGAAAAATACAGATAAAGAGTGGATAATAATAACAATATTAACATGGCTGAGCCAGTTGAGAACCTGAGAACATTTTCGCCCCCCAGGCCCCGATGTGGGTCAGTGACCTGTGCCCGGGTGAGCTAATCCCCGTAAAAAAAAAAAAAAAAAAAAAATATAGGTCTCTGGTATGTGGTAACACTATATGGGAATCTAGTATGTGGTATCATTATATGGGTCTCAAGTATGTGGTAACACTATATGGGTCTTTAGTATGTGGTAACACTATATGGGTCTTTAGTATGGGGTATCACTATATGGTTCTCTAGTATGTGGTAACACTATATGGGTCTCAAGTATGTGGTAACACTATATGGGTCTTTAGTATGGGGTATCACTATATGGGTCTCAAGTATGTGGTAACACTATATGGGTCTCAAGTATGTGGTAACACTATATGGGTCTTTAGTATGTGGTATCACTATATGGTTCTCTAGTATGTGGTAACACTATATGGGTCTTTAGTATGGGGTAACACTGCAAGGGGTCTCTAGTATGTGTTAATACTGTATGGGTTTCTATTACCTGGTTACACTGCAAGGGTCTCTAGTATCTGGAAACATTGTTTGGGTCTCTAATATGTAGTAATACTGTATGGGTTTATAATATATGATAAAACTGTCTGGGTAACCGAACGGAGCTTAACCTAACCTAAGCTAAGCTAACCTAACCTAACCCCTCCTAACATAACCTTACTTTTCCCAGAAATTATGGTGAAGTCCTGCGATGGCGAATTTACAAAGGAATATTTTGACAAGCAATGCATGGTTAGTGACAAACATTTGTCAAGTTGAGTATTCCACGTGTAATGAAGATTTCTTATTTCCAACACAATAATCTCATTGGTCCGATTTTGTAAGATGGCGACCATTATTACCGTTACAGTACAGTGCAGTACAGTACAGAACACCTAAAGGCCCGGAGTGTTTGGTGATCACGAGTAACCAGTGTGGATGATGTCTGTTTGTCTCAAATGGTCTGTCCGTCCATTCGTCTGTCTCTCGCTGTCTCTGTCTGTGTGCCTGTGTCTCGATCCCTTGTTCATACTCGCTCGTAGCATTTAAAGTTCCCATGAGTCAAGATCCCACATTATCAAGTCTCACAGTACGCTGTGGTGGCCCATGTATCTCTTGGTACTGTATCTTACAGTACGCTGTGGTGGGCCATGTATCTCCTGGTACTGTATCTTACAATATGCTGTGGAGGGCCATGTATCTCCTGGTACTGTATCTTACAGTAGCGCTGTGGTGGGCCATGTTTCTCCTGGTACTGTACCTTACAGTATGTCCTGGTAGGCCATGCATCTCCTGGTACTGTGTCTTACAGTATGTTGTGGTAGGCCATGTATCTCCTGGTACTGTATCTTACAGTATGCTGTGGTAAGCCATGTATCCCCTGGTACTGTATCTTACAGTATGCTGTGGTAAGCCATGTATCTCCTGGTACTGTATCTTACAGTATGCTGTGGTAGGCCATGCATCTCCTGGTACTGTGTCTTACAGTATGTTGTGGTAGGCCATGTATCTCCTGGTACTGTATCTTACAGTATGCTGTGGTAAGCCATGTATCTCCTGGTACTGTATCTTACAGTAGCGCTGTGGTGGGCCATGTTTCTCCTGGTACTGTACCTTACAGTATGTCCTGGTAGGCCATGCATCTCCTGGTACTGTGTCTTACAGTATGCTGTGGTAGGCCATGTATCTCCTGGTACTGTACCTTACAGTATGTCCTGGTAGGCCATGTATCTCCTGGTACTGTGTCTTACAGTATGTTGTGGTAGGCCATGTATCTCCTGGTACTGTGTCTTACAGTATGCTGTGGTAGGCCATGTATCTCCTGGTACTGTGTCTTACAGTATGTTGTGGTAGGCCATGTATCTCCTGGTACTGTGTCTTACAGTATGCTGTGGTAGGCCATGTATCTCCTGGTACTGTATCTTACAGTATGCTGTGGTAGGCCATGTATCCCCTGGTACTGTATCTTACAGTATGTCCTGGTAGGCCATGCATCTCCTGGTACTGTGTCTACAGTATGTGTGTAGGCCATGTATCTCCTGGTACTGTGTCTTACAGTATGCTGTGGTAGGCCATGTATCTCCTGGTACTGTATCTTACAGTATGCTGTGGTAGGCCATGTATCCCCTGGTACTGTATCTTACAGTATGTCCTGGTAGGCCATGCATCTCCTGGTACTGTCCCAGTATGTTGTGGTAGGCATGTATCTCCTGGTACTGTGTCTACAGTATGCTGTGGTAGCCATGTATCTCCTGGTACTGTATCTCAGTATGCTGTGGTAGGTACTGGTACTGTATCTTACAGTATGCTGTGGTAGGCCATGCATCTCCTGGTACTGTGTCTTACAGTATGTTGTGGTAGGCCATGTATCTCCTGGTACTGTATCTTACAGTATGTCCTGGTAGGCCATGCATCTCCTGGTACTGTGTCTTACAGTATGCTGTGGTAGGCCATGTATCTCCTGGTACTGTATCTTACAGTATGCTGTGGTAGGCCATGTATCCCCTGGTACTGTATCTTACAGTATGTCCTGGTAGGCCATGCATCTCCTGGTACTGTGTCTTACAGTATGCTGTGGTGGGCCATGTATCTCCCGGTACTGTATCTTACAATATGCTGTGGTAAGCCATGTATCCCCTGGTACTGTATCTTACAGTATGCTGTGGTGGGCCATGTATCCCTTGGTACTGTATCTTACAGTATGCTGTGGTGGGCCATGTATCTCCTGGTACTGTATCTTACAGTATGCTGTGGTGGGCCATGTATCCCCTGGTACTGTATCTTACAGTATGCCCTGGTAGGCCATGTATCTACTGGTACTGTCTCTTACAGTATTCCATGTTGGGCCACGGTATTCCGCCATGATGTCATGGAATAGTGACAATATCACAACTTTATTTAAGGGAAAAATTAAAACACTAATCTTTGACCACGTAACCCCCTGTGCTGTCCATGGTTAGTGTGTCCAGGTATTGTACATATAGGCCACTTACGGTGCAGTGTTGATGGCAATGTTCTTAAAATATCCTAACTTTATATACTGTAAGTGCACCAGTTAATGTGATACAAAATATAATTAATTCACTTTTAAATCCATTTTCTCTGTGTTTTTACCTATATTTTCTATGAAATTATATTGTTACATAATCAACATAAACTGGGAGTGTTTCCACGATATTTACGGAGGTGTATTTGTGCAGGATAAATTGTGTCTGCCCAACAACTTCAACAAGAACTGTGTGAGGGTGAAATACGGGAATGTATCCTCCACGAACGTCATCCTCCCTCCCTACAAAGTTTACAATCACTCGAAGGCACCCATTGCGAACGCTTGGTGAGTCTATCTTTCTCTTTACTCTTTCCTTATCCTAATGATCCAAGATTCCTATGCCGTCATTTTCTTCATAACTAACGACATGACAACGCATCAAAATAGTTTATTTCAGCTATGATTAGAAATGGTGTTAACATATGGAGGAATAGGGGATTGTACAGTACATGTCCATCCCAACCCTATAAGCATCCCGCACCTCCCTACCAAGTTTCAGCTCTATGTTAGAAAACATGTGGAAATACATAGGGAACACACACACACACACACACACACACACACACACACACATACATATACACGACTACTACTACTTTGCTGTCACTCGGAATCAAGTATGACGATCATCCAGCTATGATACAATGATATGATTTATTAAGAATGTCACCTTCGTCGGTGAGCTTTGAGGTGACTCGAGAGACCAATACAGGGTCCGACAGGTCTGTCCACAGATGTTGCACGTGTGGAGGGTTACATCTAGTGTGGGAGGGGTGGCGGCAGTGTCTTACAGCGCTGGCGCTTGTCTGCCTCGGTATGCAGTTGGTCAAACTCTAAAGTATTAACACCCTCTCATGTGGTGCTTCCCTAAGCCCCAAGCATTATGGTGTGGAGTAATCATCTCCCAGGTGAGGGGGTTGATTTGGCACTTTTTCAGGTTTGTCTTAAGACTATCCTTATATCTTTTCCGTTGTCCGTCAGCATTACGTTTACTATTCGTTAGGTGACTGTAAAGTAGCTGCTTTGGCAGTCTACTGTCGTCCATGAGGGTAACATGAGCAGTTCAACGTAGTTGTTCATGGATAATGGTAGCCTCGATGCTCCTACAGTTGGTGTCAACAAGAATACTGGCATTTGATCTCTTGTGTTCCCAGCCAACTCGGATGATGGAACGTAGACTACATTGGTGAAAGTTTTCAAGTGCTATGAGGTGCCTCCTGTATGTGAGCCATGTCTCGCTGCCATACAGCAGGGTGTGGAGGATCACTGCTCGATACACGTGCAGCTTTACAGATAATTTCAGCTCCCTACAGCTGAAGACACGGGTACGAAATATGTTAAAGGCTTGAGATGCAAATCTGATCCGATGTTGAATCTCTTCATCAATGTCCACAGTGGTGGACAGGTGGGAGCCAAGGTACTGTAACTGGGTAACATTAGAGAGGATAGTACCGTTAAGCTGGATGGATGGTGGAGGTGTGGTTGAACCAGGGGCAGGCTGAAAGAGAATCTCAGTCTTACGTGCATTCACCTCAACGCCGAAGTGTGCATACGCATTTGCATAAGGGTTCAGGATCTCTTGTAGGTCGCGTTCAGTGTGAGTGACGAGTGTGAGGTCGTTTGCATACTAAAGTTCAGTGATGGAAGTCGTTTTATGTTGAAAAGTCCCTTCATCCAATACTGAATGTCCACCCCGCCAGTTAAATTGGCACTGGCACAAGTAAGGAAGGCAGCCTAGAAAATGGAAACGAGAGTTGGTGCCAGTACACATCCTTGATTTACTCCCGTTTGCATGGGGAAGAACTCAAACTGGGTGCCATTGTGTAGGATACTGCCATTCATGCCCTCATAGAGTTGCCTCACATTGGCAATGAATTTTGGTCGGCAGCCAAAACGACTGAGGGTCCGCCCGAGGGCTTCCCTGTTGACTGAGTTGAAACCAGTAGTTAGGTCAATGAAGGCCATGTACAAGTCACAGCACTGTTCTCTGCACTTTTTCTGTATCTGGTGGGAAGCAAAGATCATGTATTAGCCCCTGTCTCATAGACAGTAGTACTTATATAAATATGGGTTCATACATTTGTTTTGTATAATAATATCATTCTTTGTAATATTCCATGAGCTGTGAGATATCATGAAGTGATGATGTGATCACCAGTTTCCACTGGCAGCCGCCCTGTAAAGAAACTGGCCAAACTTTCTTCAGAGCTGCTCTTCCCTCAGTAGTTATTTAACTCTCACGAGAGAAAGACATCGAATTAAGCTTATCCAAGATAAGCTCCGTCCTTCCTCTCGGCAGTTCATACTCAACTTTCGCTAGGTAAGGACGTCTGATATAAAAGCTTATCTTAAGTTAAGCTCTGTTCTTAACCTACACTCACAGTTCACAGTGTAATTACGGTGATCCTTATTGACTGTACATAATATATATTTTTATAAATAAATGGAGAAAAGACCATTTGAGGTTTGACAAACTTAACCCATAAACATTTATTTATATAACTGATCAGTTACCTTATTTTAGTGATTCTACAGAAGTCTACAGGTAACTGACCTTATAGTTATAATCATGTCAGTGGTGCCACGTAATGGTCTAAAGCCACAATGAGATTTTGGGAGGAAGTTTCCCACCTTAGGAAGAAATATGTTTAGGACTCGGGCGATAATCTTGCCAGCTACCGACAGCAGTGAGAACTCACAGTAGTTGCCACAGTCTCACCGGCCTCCCTTATTCTTATAAATGTTGACGATCTAGGCGTCTTTAAGATCTTGGGGGAATTCCTCCTTCTCCCATATATTCTCCAGGAGTGAGTGGAGATGGCTAGTAAGCAGAGGTCCTCTTGCTTTATACACCTCGGCTGGGATTCCATCAGGCCCTGTGACTTTATTTTTCATCTGTTTGATGGCAGTAACTACCTCATCCAGAGATACAGGATAGCTGAGGTGGGTCAGCTCTGGGTGCTGAGGAACCTGCTGGGTGATCAGGACATCCACATCTGTGTTTCAGTTGGGAAGCGAATGGTAGTGCTCTTTCCAGTGCTGACGGATGCCTTCTTCGTTTTTAATTAGGGAATTACTGTCGGATGAGTGGAGGGAGGCCACGCCATGAGTAGTTGGGCCATATATAATTTTCGCGGAATTGAAAAATTCACGGACATTGTGGTGATCAGCATTTTTTTTTTTGCACTTTTTTTTTCACCATTTATTCAGTAGTTTGAGAAGTTCATGCTGGACCACCGCTTTCTTCGTGTGGAAGGTATCAGCTTTGGTCCAAAACTGAGGGCTGTTCTGCCAGTCAGTGAGAGTAGCAAGTTAACTCTTGACGAGTTCTTCAATATCCGGGTTGTTTTCACCAAACCAATCCTGGTGTTTTCTTTTGGTCAGGCCGAGTGTCTCATTGCAGGTTTTTGTGATGATAGCTTCGATGGGACCCCATTCGGTACTGGGATTTAGGTTGATTATTTTTGGGCTGTTTACCAGCCCCTCTTTGAGTTTCTCTTTGAAAGCATGTGCTACCACTGGATCCTCCAGTCGCTTGGTCTTAATACCTCTTCTGGAGGCTTGTTGCCTCCATGGGGCAACATGAAGGGAGAGTTGGGCTCTGACAAACAGACGATCTGAGTCACAGTCGTCTGGGCCGCGCATGGCTCAGGTGATGAGGACATCTCGGCGATCTCTTTCTCTGACAGTGATGTAGTCAATGAGATGCCAATGTTTGGATTGTGGGTGTTGCCACAAACCCTTGAACTTGTCCGCCTGCCTAAACAAGGTATTGGTGATAGTGAGGTTGTGTTCAGCACACTTGGTGAGGAGAAGGCGGTTAGATTACACTTGACCACTCCGTTTCTCCCTATTGTTCCTTGCCATAATTGAGCATCTCTGCCAGCTCTGGCATTGAAGTTACCTAGGAGCACAACCTTATCTTCTGAGGATAGAGGTTAGCACTCTGTCAAGGTCGGTATATAAGGCCTCCTTGATGTCATCCTCTGCATCCAGTGTTGGGGCGTATGCACTGATGGAGGGAGCATGACGTGAGTGATTCAGTGGGACTCGGAGCGTCATGAGGCGCTCGTTGACCCCAACAGGCATTTCAGTTAACCAATGTAGGATGAATTGGCGAATGGCAAAGCTAACTCCATAAATGTGGGTCCTCTCATCAGCAGGCTTACCCTTCCAGAAGAAGGTATAGCCGGACTCCTGTTCTGTGAGTCAACCCTCGTCTGGGAGCTGAGACTCACTAATGGCTGCTTTGTCGATGTTATACCTAGTCAGCTCTTTTGTCACAAGAGCGGTTCTTTCAGGCCGCTCATTTATTGCTGTATCCAGAAGGATCCTGACTGCATTAGTATGACCTTACTGAGTGCGGTTACCCAGCCAGGTTGATTTTTTAGGCAGGCTGTGTTTAGGCCACCTTCTCTAACCCCTTTCGCATGTGGGGTGAACAGAGTGGCTCCTCGAAAGGGTTGCTCAGTCGCACGGACAGGACTGGATTGCACTGCTGCCGATATCCCAGTGCAAAAACGACCATCATATCAATGATGCCCATGTGTAGAGTCGTGACTAGAGACTCCAAGCAGTCATCTCTGCCTGTTCCTGTCGCCATAGGACTTTTGAACTTTTGGGGGTTTAGGGATTCTGATGAGACGTATGACGAGCTGGATGATGGCTGCGCGTGAGTTAATTTACGTGGTGAGGCAGGAGCGCAGGCTGGAACCCCACATCTTGGCTCTCCCTTTTCCTGGTCCAGTGGTGCAGGTAGTTGTAACGACTGGGGAGAAGGTGAGTTGCAATGGACTGCCGATGGCCCAGTTTGTAAGGTTTTGCCTTAGTAGCCTGTCCATCTTACATTTCCTTCATCTACCGGTATAGTCGTTGGTTTCCCGTGTTGGTCACTTCTTCCGCCTATACTGCCATTGGGGTCTTTACTGGAGCTCTGTAAGCATGTCTGCCTGATGCGGGGCTCCACCACATATATTTCGTTCGGGGTTTTCTCCCATAACCTTATAACTACCAAGGTTAATCCGCAAGGCAGCGGGGCAGTGGTTGGTAGGTGCCAGGGAGTGTGCACATGCCGGTCGGCCTATGAGCCGCCTCACTGCATGGGGGTCATTGCTGCTCCGAGATCCCCAGTTACCCCGGGTTGACGCAAGAAGGCACAGCAGGAGTGTTGATGGTGAAGCGTGTACTGGCAAAGGAAGACTTACGCAATGCTGTTTTCGCGTTAACCAAAGGGTTAGCCAGTGGCGGTAGCTCAAAGCAAGAGAAGCAAGCAGTGCTTGCATCTTAACACTAGCATAGTGCTGTCACACACACACACACACACACACAGGGAGATGAAGAAATATACTACATACAACAAAGCACCACATCAAAAAGACCGCCCAAATGGTTCATATCCACTGAGCTTCGATACAAAATAGTAGCGTCATTGTGTTGAAGAATATATCTATTAATCTCAACCTATTCTGGTACTAGTATAGTCTTGTGCAGTCATCCACAAACGTCTTGTCGCCTCTCCTCCTGAACCACGAAACTCATACTTGTGAATCCAGAGAATTTATGGACAGAATAATGTATCAGTATTTGCTTGAGGATAATAATGATGCCCAGTTGTGGCGTGCGATTAACTGGCATAGATAATTGAACAACGCCCCCACCCAGGCACGAACTACCACACAACCCACTGATCACCATTTTAAAGAACATTTTGAGCAGATTTTTAACCCTCCTGATATTATAGAACATGACCTTGATGAACTACACAGCAATGTTTATATTCCGTTGTTTGATGACCCAATATCTCCCCGTGAGATGTTTGATCACCATCATCATCATCACTACCACCATCTTCAACAACATCCTCATCATCATCACTACCACCATCTTCTACATCATCATCATCATCATCATCACTATCACCATCTTCAACAACATCCTCATCATCATCACTATCACCATCTTCAACATCATCATCATCCTCATCATCATCACTACCACCATCTTCAACAACATCCTCATCATCATCACTATCACCATCTTCAACAACATCCTCATCATCATCACTATCACCATCTTCAACATCATCATCATCATCACTAACACCATTCTTCAACAACAACATCCTCATCATCATCACTACCACCATCTTCAACAACATCCTCATCATCATCACTAACACCATTTTCAACAACAACATCCTCATCATCATCACTACCACCATCTTCTACATCATCATCATCATCACTACCACCATCTTCAACAACATCCTCATCATCATCACTACCACCATCTTCAACAACATCCTCATCATCATCACTACCACCATCTTCTACATCATCATCATCATCACTACCACCATCTTCAACAACATCCTCATCGTCATCACTACCACCATCTTCTACATCATCATCATCATCATCATCACTATCACCATCATCATCATCATCATCATCATCATCACTACCACCATCTTCAACAACATCCTCATCATCATCATCACTATCACCATCATCATCATCATCATCATCATCACGACCACCATCTTCAACATCATCCTCATCATCATCACTACCACCATTATCATCATCATCATCATACTACCACACATCTTCAACAACATCCTCATCATCATCACTATCATCTTCAACATCATCATCATCATCATCATCATTATCACTACCACCATCTTCAACAACATCCTCATCATCATCACTACCACCATCTTCAACAACATCCTCATCATCACTACCACCATCTTCAACAACATCATCATCATCATCACTACCACCATCTTCAACAACATCCTCATCATCATTCACTATACCATCTTCAACATCATCCTCATCATCATCACTACCACCATCTTCAACAACATCATCATCATCATTACTACCACCATCTTCAACAACATCCCATCATCACTACCACCATCTTCAAATTCATCATCATCATCATCATCACCATCTTCAACATCATCATCATCATCATCACTACCACCATCTTCAACAACATCATCATCATCATCACTACCACCATCTTCAACAACATCCTCATCATCATCATCACTACCACCATCTTCAACAACATCCTCATCATCATCACTACCACCATCTTCAACAACATCATCATCATCATCACTACCACCATCTTCAACAACATCATCATCATCATCACTACCACCATCTTCAACAACATCCTCATCATCATCACTACCACCATCTTCAACATCATCATCATCATCATCATCACTACCACCATCTTCAACAACATCCTCATCATCATCACTACCACCATCTCAACATCATCATCATCATCATCATCACTACCACCATCTTCAACAACATCCTCATCATCATCATCACTACCACCATCTTCAACATCATCACTACCACCATCATCATCATCATCACTACCACCATCTTCGACAACATCCTCATCATCATCACTACCACCATCTTCAACAACATCATCATCATCATCACACTACCACCATCTTCAACAACATCATCATCATCATCATCATCATCACTACCACCATCTTCAACAACATCCTCATCATCATCACTACCACCATCTTCAACATCATCATCATCATCATCACTACCACCATCTTCAACATCATCATCATCATCATCACTACCACCATCTTCAACAACATCCTCATCATCATCACTACCACCATCTTCAACATCATCATCATCATCATCACTACCACCATCTTCAATAACATCCTCATCATCATCACTACCACCATCTTCAACATCATCACTACCACCATCATCATCATCATCACTACCAACATCTTCAACAACATCCTCATCATCATCACTACCACCATCTTCAACATCATCATACCACCATCATTATCATCATCACTACCAACATCTTCGACAACATCCTCATCATCATCACTACCACCATCTTCAACACATCATCATCACAGCCACCATCTTCAACAACATCCTCATCATCATCACTATCACCATCTTCAACAACATCCTCATCATCACTACCACCATCTTCAACATCATCATCATCATCACTACCACCATCTTCAACATCATCATCATCATCATCATCAAATATAAAATGAAAACAAAAATTAAAATAGAGCCATAATTACTGTACCGAAGATAACGTGTTTACAGGCACCATCACCACAGCACCAACACCTCCAGAATCTGGGTGTTACTGATGGACGGAGTCTTCACCTACCGGCTACAACTTAAACCACTGGTGAGGCCATTACGTCTTCCTACTCCACCAAGTTGGCCATAATAAATCACAGCTGGCCATAGTAGATCACAGCTGGCCATAGTAGATCACAGCTAGCCATAGTAGACCACAACTAGCCAAAGTAGACCACAACTAGCCATAGTAGACCACAACTAGCCACAGTAGACCACAACTAGCCATAGTAGACCACAACTAGCCATAGTAAACAACAGCTAGCCATAGTAGACCACAACTAGCCATAGTAGACCACAACTAGCCATAGTAGACCACAACTAGCCATAGTAGACCACAACTAGCCATAGTAAACAACAGCTAGCCATAGTGGACCACAACTAGCCATAGTAGACTACAACTAGCCATAGTAGACCACAACTAGCCATAGCAAACAACAGCTAGCCATAGTGGACCACAACTAGCCATAGTAGACCACAGCTGACCATAGTAGACCACAACTAGCCACAGTAGACCACATCTAGCCATAGTAAACAACAGCGACCATAGCAGACCACAACTAGCCATAGTAGACCACAACTAGCCATAATAGACCACATCTGGCCATAGTAGACCACAACTAGCCATAGTAGACCACAACTAGCCATAGTAGACCACATCTGGCCATAGTAGACCACAACTAGCCATAGTAGACCACAACTAGCCATAGTAGACCACATCTGGCCATAGTAGACCACATCTGGCCATAGTAGACCACAACTAGCCATAGTAGACCACATCTGGCCATAGTAGACCACAACTAGCCATAGTAGACCACAACTAGCCATAGTAGACCACAACTAGCCATAGTAGACCACATCTGGCCATAGTAGACCACAACTAATATAGTAGACCACATCTAGCCATAGTAGACCACAACTAGCCGAATGGACCACAACTAGCCATAGTAGACCACACTCAGCCATAGTAGACCACATCTAGATAGTAGACCACAACTAGCATAGTGAACACATCTAGCCAATGAACACAACAGCCATAGTAGACCACATCTAGCCATAGTAGACCACAACTAGCCATAGTAGACCACAACTAGCCATAGTAGACCACAACTAGCCATAGTAGACCTCAACCGCAATGGAGCATCTAGCCATAGTAGACCACAACTAGCCATAGTAGACCACATCACAATGCATAGTAGACCACATCTGGCCATAGTAACTACAACTAGCCATAGTAGTACATCTGTGCATAGTGAATACACATACATAGTAGACCACAACTAGCCATAGTAGACCACATCTGGCCATAGTAGACCACACATCTGTGCATAGAACCACAACTGGCCATAGTGGACCACATCTAGCCATAGTAGACCACAACTAGCCATAGTAGACCACAACCACAATGGAGCCACAACTAGCCATAGTGAATACAACTAGCCATAGTAGACCACAACTAGCATAGTAGACCACAACTAGCCATAGTAGACCACAACTAGCCATAGTGACCCATCTAGCCATAGTAGACCACAACTAGCATAGGTGAGCCACAACTAGCCAGTAGACCACAACTAGCCATAGTAGACCACAACTTGCCATAGTAGACACAACTAATATAGTAGACCACAACTAGCCATGACCACATCTGGCCATAGTAGACCACATCTAGCCATAGTAGACCACAACTAGCATAGTAGCCACATCGGCCTAGTGAATACAATTAGCCATAGTGGACCACAACTAGCATAGTAGACCACAACTAGCCATAGTGACCACATCTGCATAGTGAATACAGCTGACCATAGTGAACACAGCCAGCCATGAGACCACACCTAGCCATAGTAGACCACATCTGGCCATAGTGACCACATCTGGCCATAGTAGACAACTAGCATAGTAGCCACATCTGGCCATAGTAGCCACAACTAGCCATAGTGACCACAACTAGCCATAGTAGACCACAACTAGCCATAGTAGACCACATCTGGCCAATGAGCCACATCGCCATAGTGGACCCTACTGGCATAGTGGACCACATCTAGCCAGTAGACCACAACTAGCCATAGTAGACCACAACTAGCCATAGTAGACCACAACTAGCCATAGTAGACCACAACTACATAGTAGCCACAACTAGCCATAGTGACCCATCTGGCCATAGTGAGCCACATCTGGCCTAGTAGACCAAACTAGCCATAGTGGACCACATCTGGCCATAGTAGAACAACTAGCCATAGTAGACCACAACTAGCCATAGTGAGCCACAACCAGCCATAGTGACCACATCTGGCCATATGAACCACAACTAACCATAGTAGACCACAGCTAGCCATAGTAGACCACATGCATAGTAGACACATCTGGCCATAGTAGACCACAACTATGCAATAGACCACATCTGTAGTAGACCACAACTAGCCATAGTAGACCACAACTAGCCATAGTGACCACAACTATATAGTAGACCACATCTGGCCATAGTAGACCACATCGTACATAGTAGACCACAACTAGCCATAGTAGACCACATCTGGCATAGTAGACCACATCTGGCCATAGTAGACCACAACTAGCAGTAGCCACAACTAGCCATAGTAGACCACATCTGGCCATAGTAGCCACATCTGGCCATAGTGACCACATCTGGCATAGTGACCCAACTAGCCAGTAGACCACATCTGGCCATAGTGGACCACAACTAGCCATAGTAGACCACACTGGCATAGTAGACCACATCTAGCCATAATAGACCACATCTGGCCATAGTAGACCACATCTGGGCATAGTGGACCACATCTGGCCATAGTAGACACATCTGGCATAGACAATGACCATAGTAGACCACAACTAGCCATAGTAGACCCATCTGGCCTGTAGCCACATCTGCATAGTAGACACAACTAGCAGTAGACACATCTGGCCATAGTAGACCACATCGGCTAGTAACACAACTAGCCATAGTAGACCACAACTAGCCATAGTGAACACAACTAGCCATAGTGACCACATCTGGCCATAGTAGACCACATCTGGCCTAGTAGACCTAACTAGCCATAGTGACCACATCTGGCCATAGTAGACCACATCTGGCCATAGACACAGCACATAGTAGACCACATCTGGCCATAGTAGACCACATCTAGCCATAGTAGCCACAACTAGCCATAGTAGCCACATCTGGCCATAGTAGACCAACTAGCCATAGTAGACACATCTGGCATGTAGACCACAACTAGCCATAGTAGACCACATCTGGCCATAGTAGACCACATCTAGCCATAGTAGACCACATCTAGCCATAGTGGAGCCACATCTCGGCCATAGTAGACCACATCTGGCCATAGTAGACCCATCTGGCCATAGTAGCCACAACTAGCCATATGACCATCTGGCCATAGTGAGCCACATCTGCCAGTAGACACATCTGGCCATAGTAGACCACATACAGCCATAGTAGACCACATCTGGCCATAGTAGACCACATCTTGGCCATTGGGCCACAACTAGCAGTAGTAGACACATCTGGCCATAGTAGATGGCCATATGACACATTTGGCCATAGT